TCTGGAGGTTTTTTTCCTTATTTGACTGTAGGTATAACAGGATAACAATTAACACAATCAACAAAAAATACAAATTTCTTAGTACAGATTAAATACAGTTAAAAATAGCAAATTATTTAATGAGACACTTGTTTCTGCTTATAGTTCGATAACTTCTCCACATCAGGTGAAATATTTGTCGGCAACAGAAGCAAAACAGCATCCAGATGGTCATCACCCAACCTTGTTCGAAAAACGATTTTAGTATATTTCATTTTCGAAAAAGTTGTTCACAAGCATGTGTACTTCCAAATGATGATACCATTCAATAGACATTTATATTTTCTGCTTGGCAAAACATATTTCTTGTAGAAGTCAGCAGTGGATTCGCAATTACATTTTGATTTTAAAAATTCGTCGCATCGTATGTTGATTAAATCCAACTGATATGTTTCTGTCACTTGCTTCACAAACTAATTAAATAATTTGTTGAAGTTGGCGGGCCGGAGAAAAATCTTTCGCGCGCCGGATATAGCCCGGGGGCCGGGAGTTGTCAACCCTTATTCTAAACAATAGCATATGATTAAAAGCCTTTAACAATGGACTCTTACCTTTTCATGTAACATGTTTAAAACCTCTGGTCGATTCCTTAATCGACCGACAGATCCTTAATTAATTAAATTTGATAATGGTGACCGAAATATTATTAGTGACATTAATTCTTTAAAACAACAAAAAAAAAGTAAGTAGATTTTATGACATGATCAGCGTATTTCTGATTTTCACTTTGTCTTTTTCAATCTGTTTCACTCCAAGCAAGGCAATAAAGCCACTCTGACGCACGGGTTTACTGAGTGTTAGAGAATATCATAACAAAACCTTATTCATGAGAGATCATTATACAAAAACAGGAATTAAAAAGGCAGACGATAACGATTGAAATTTAGTTCCACAAGCAAGAAGTGCCATAGAAGAAACTGTCAACATAGAACTCACGGTTACATCTAAACAATTCAACTGTAAAATGATGAGACCTAATTGCCAATCTAGTATTGTCCTTAGATTCATAAAGTCGGTACCATAGAGGAAAGTTCATCAGAACAATTACTATATGTAATTTGTTTGTTTGATTATATGGCATATCAACACCTCAATGGGTTATTTAATGCCGAAAAGATTTTATTTGCTGGTAACTTTTTTTTCTTCCAAAAATGTATTGCTGGTATATGCTGGTTATAATTTTTTCTTCAAAATTTCATTGCTGCTAATACTTTTTTTTCAAAAATGTATTGACGGTATTAAAATCTATTTTTACACTGTCATAGTGTTTTGACCCCAATTTAGAGGTTAATTATTTGCCCATAGCTGGGATGCTAACAGTTGCTAACACACCGGGTCAGGGTGGACCTGGGAACACCAGCAATCAAGAGGCAGTTCCACGCTCCTCAAAACCTACCGATCAGAGGCCCTGCTGCCGGATGTAGTTTATCGTCATGCCCAGAACTCTATAAGTGTTTATAGGAAAAGCACAGGGAAGTTCTAGTAGTTCTCAATGCTCTGTCCTTCTCGATTAATCTCATATAAAACAGACAAGCAACATCAATAATGTAACATTCTCAGTGTTTTTCTTCTTCTTCTTCTTCTTCTTCTTCTTCTTCTTCATTATTCTTATAATCATCATCATCATCATCATTATTATTATTTCTTATTATTATTATTTCTTCTAAAAGCATATTTTCTCTTCTTTAATAAAGTACTGAATGAGAAACATTCAGACGCTATTTTCTGGAAGCATCAGCTGTTATTTCAGTTCATAAATGCTCCCCCCTTCAAAATTTAAAAAGAATTAATTGAATTCTTTCAAATCTGATCCTTTGTAAACGTTCCCATGTTTTAATGCAACAATTAGAATTAGCCTATTTTACAGACAAGAGGAATCTGTTTGATATCATTTGAATCAAAAGCAATAAAAAAAAACATATTACAGAATAGGTACATCCAAAACTTCGGTATACCTAAGGTTTAAATAGCATTTTCATAAATTAAAAATATTTCTCGATTTTTTCTTTTTAGACTCAATTGAAAGGTAAAGGATTAATTTTTCTAATTCCAGAAAGCAAAATACTATGGTGTCTTCCAAATAGAAAATTAAAATGATTTTAGTCGATTCATTTTTTTTTTCAGAAAAAAACAGTCGAAATTGTCATTTTAAATTTTTTTTTTTTTTTTTTTTTTTTTTTTTTTTGACATTGTAAACAACTTAATTTTCGGTTTTACTCATAATTCAAAAATACGCTCTCAAGTAGCCGCCCGAGAGGGTCGTCAGTGATGTTATTTGACTTGGTTCATCAGGGAGTTTCGGGTCTTTCAACATCATACTTCCCATCACCAAATCGACCCAATCAGGGGAGATCAATCCCTGATCCTTCCTCTCAGTCAAACGCTAACGGCTACTCTGGCCTTTTAATGAATTAGACGAAGACCACATTTTCCGCACACCCGATTGGATGTTTGTAACAAC